AAAAAAAAAAAAAAAAAAAAAAACAAGCATGCCAACATATCAAAATTTTAGTATTGCACTCTACGTATCCATACGTTGCACTTTATATAGTATTACATTGCACCTTATAATACGACATGTTGCACCTTATAATAATAATACGATATACCTACCAAAATTACAACCAAAATTATAGTAATTATGCTAATCGATCAAATAATATTAGTTGATTAAAGGTCGTATTTAGTTTTTTTTTTTAAAAATAAACAAAATAACCGAATGTCCTGAACTATATGAAATGAATATTACCTATTTTTTTATGAAAGTCAATAATATTTTTCTATCTCTAATTTTTATGTATTGCGAATGCACATTAAGATTATACAGATTACACATAAATATCTACCAGATTGCACAAAATTGAACGAGATCAAAAGAAAACAAAAATTTAATACAAAATTTTATATTTTAGTTCGATATTATTATTATTTTTTTATAAATCGATTAGTTTGATATGATGTCATTTTCTATTCAAATAACAAAAATAAAAAATAAACTATATTAACTAATATAGTTTGCATTTGCAATTAAACCAAACAGGCCCAAATCTGACCAAATTGAAAAAAGCTAATTTTTTGTAATTTGCAGAATGAACAACCATCCACAGATGTCGATTCATTCAAGCAAGAGACTGCAATAATCCTTTCTTTGACACTGGTCCCGTAAACAGCACTAAAACCTTTAGGCATGAAAGTGATAATTCATTTTTCGGGATGAATGGACACTGAATGGATTGAATTTCCCATTGCCCTTTTGAATCTCCAAAAGGGAAAAACCTAAGCGGTGAAGAAATTAAATGAAAAAAAGATGATGTTTCTAATTTTTTGTAATTTGCAGTTAAGTCCTTAGGAGTGGTCTAATTTACAAAACCTAGCCCTCAAATTCCAAAAACACCAAATTCCAAAATCAGCTCATCCCCATCAGAAACTTCAGCCGTACACCCACCGCAGCTGCTCACTTCCGTTGCCGGCGGTACGAGCTGATGGCCACATGGTCGATTCCGCCGGCGGTTGCCTGAATCGAGGTGTAACCTGGATTTTCTCGGCCACCTCACGCTGGGTCGGCTGCCTGAAACGACGGGATGGCTTCAGCAGTGGAATGTGGCGGTCGCAGGAATATGGCGGGGATGGGATAGGCCGGGCTGCGGCGGCGACGGGCTGCTACTTATGGCGGAGGTTCGACGGAGGTGGGTGTCAGCATCGAGTGGTCCGGCAGGGGGTCAGCAGCGGGTAGCAACTTGCGGCAGAAATCGACAGTTGGGGGGGCTCTCGGCGGCGGGCAGCGGCGGGCAGTGGCTGGCTGCTACGGAGGTGTGGCCGATCTGGACCTGCGCGACGGCCGGTTGGTGACGGTTGTTGGGGATGGTGGCGACGGCGTCGGACGACCTATTGCCAACGGCGGCGGAAGACGGTGGCTGCAGGTGGTGGTAGAGATTTTGTGTCTGTGTGTTCTCTGCGTGTGTGTGTAAGTGTGTGTTTTTGGTGTGATTGTGTGAGAGAGAAAGATTTTAATGTGGAGGGTAGGTTATGGTGGGACCCATGGTGTGTAATGTCCTATATACCCTTATTTAGAGGTCAAATATGTACATTGACCATAATGTTTTGTTAAATTACTATACTACCATTAATGATTGACCAAATTTTGATTTAATCTTACCCATCCATGTGATATATCTAATGATCTAGATTTATTCTCATTTCTCGCATTAAAAGTCATTCTCATATGATCCTTTCTCTATATATATATATATATAAAGATTGGTTGAAACAATAAATTTGAAATTTGACTTACATATTGTAAAATTTGAACTTGAGGAAAAAAATAAAGAGATGAATTTCAATTGATTCGAAATTCTTAAACCATTATGAATTTCATACAAATTGAAACCAACTATATCTAAATTTATTATGATTTGGTAATTTCCAAGATGTTTGTTAATTTAAAGTGGCCTAATATTCTTCATCTATGGAATAATTTTATTTATCCGTCCAAGAATAAAAGCATGTGATTAGATTTTTTTGGAATTCAATTTGAACAAAATCCTTTATATTAGGCAAGAGATTTTGAATTAAGCCCGGCAACCAAAATGAGAAAACTCAAATTTTCAAAGACAAAAGTTTCGGATTGTTTGGAATCTCACAATCAAATTTTTAAAATCAAATAAGAGGGATTTTGTATTTAAAGTTATATTCAAATGATTGAAATTTTCAAAACTTAGTGAAACCAAACCCACCAATTTAGGCATAATTTAATGCTCCTGGAAATTTTTGAAAAATAAAAAACAAAAAAGTTACTAAGAATAGTAGGTAATAATGTTGACCGAAATTTGACTTACTATTTTTTAAAAATGGTAATTCTTATTATATATATATAGATATAGATTTCATAAATAAAGATTTCCAATGGCTTCAAACATTCCGATCAATTTGAATGAACCTCCTTACGACGTAGAAGATGCAGTCCCGAGATCTTCGTAGAACATTATAATTGACCTAAATGTCGACGATAGCCCGTAAATTGGATACCATGTTATCTAGCTCGACTTAAATCAACTTTTTGAAGATGATGACGAAGCTAGGTTAGATTCATCTGTAGAAGAGGATATTTGCCAGCAAGCTAGTGGTGGAGAAGGAAATAGAGACATACAAGGGGTAATTCATGGGCACGTAATATCGAGTGGACAAGAGATTTTCAATGAGCTTGACGACGTCAATGGTGAAGCAGTGGAAACAAGACAAGGTGAGTTATTTTACAAAAAATTAAAGTCTTAGAAAAATGTTCTTTCACACATAGCTATACGTGTTGTCTGTATGTTTAGAGAGAGAAAAATGTTCATTTGTTTTTTTAAAATATCTTGAAAGGTACTAGACGAGATTTGCTAATTAGTTTTTAATTTCTTAATTAGTTTTTTGCAATCTTGTAGATTTTTATCTTTTAGCAGTTAATTAATGTTGTTAATTTTGTTCAGTAGTTCTTGATGTGATGACTCTTTTTATGACTAATGAAATTATTAGATGCCAAACATATGAATTCTTCACCACTGTTTGTGAGTAACCTTATATTGATGTTCTGTTTTAAGGGATTTTGGTAATATCTTGCTTCAGGATTTCACCTTTTTTTCCCTTCACTTTGACATGCATGAAATACTAATAATTGAGTAATTTACTTAGTTATTTGTGAAGAAACAGAGGGAATTGTAAAAGCTATTTCTTTGTATATTGAAATTTTGATTGCATATGGTGATACATACATACATGGGATCTCTTCGATTTTGAAAATTTCTGTTGGAAAAAATCATTTCTTTTTTGGGTGTTAGTTTTTTGTTCTTTTTCATAATCCATGTGATGAAAAAAAATCTTGTTAAGAAATTGTTTTCTGGGATTTTTATTTCACCTTGGCTCGCCCTTCAATTGAAGTGTTTTGTTCTATATATTATTTCTTCAAATTGCTTGGTTCTCTATGTTAAATTTGGTTACCACTATTTTGATAGGCAATGTTCAAGGGAGAAAGAAAAGGACCCTAACTAATGCTGAACGTTGGGCAGTTTACCATGCTTTGTTGGAGAAAAGTGTAAATGGTAAATTGAAAAAGAATACAACAAAAGAAGTGAAAGATATGTTCAATATTGAGGAGGTGCGAATAGTTCAAAGAATATGGAGAATTCACAAGAGCACTCCACCAGGCTCAGATGTGGATGCTTCATCGAGAAAGGCACGAAACTGTGGTCGTAAACGAATTGAGGTGGATTTAAATAGAATTCAACAGATAGAGTGGCATCAACGAACAACACTTACATTTCTTTCTAATGCTTTACGAGTTAGTTGTTTCAAATTGTACAGCCTTTTTAAGCGAGGCGTTCTACGTCGTCACTCAAATGCCATCAAACCACATTTGAAAGACGAAAATAAAACATCACGACTAGAGTTCTGTTTATCGATGCTTGATGAAAGCACAACGTCGAACAAGCCAAAGTTTAAGGGAATGTATAACTATGTGCACATCGACGAGAAATGATTTTACATGACATAAAGGAGCAAACGTATTACCTGCTCGACAATGAATAAGATCCTCACCATTCATGCCAAAGTAAAAATAACATTGAAAAAGTCATGTTTCTAGCATCCACAGCTTGTCCTAAATTTGATGGTGAAGGAAGGGTGGTTGGGCGTTTGTGACAGAGCAACCAGCCTAAAGAAATAGCAGGAACAAACAAGATGGCACGATGGAGATGAAAGAGATCACATCTGTTAAAAGAGAGAATGTGAAAGCATTTTTTATTGAAAAGGTTATCCCAACTATTATTGAAATATGGCCTTGCTCGGGAGAAACTATTTATGTCCAGCAAGATAATGCTAGGATACACGTCCCTCCTAATGACCCTGGTTTTGTAGCAGGAGCTTCACAAAATAGCTTTGACATTCGATTAATTTGTCAACCCCCTAATTCTCCAGATTTGAATACACTTGACCTTGGGTATTTTAGGGCTATACAGTCGCTACAAAACAAAAAATTTGCGCAAGGAATATCCATGAGCTTGTAAGTGCGGTAGAGAATTCATTCTCTGAATATTCACCCATCAAGCTCAATTATGTGTGACTGACATTGCAAGTATGTATGAAAGAGATCATGAAACTAGGAGGAGGAAATCGATATAAAATCCCTCACATAAACAAAAAAATGGCTTCAAAGACTAGGTGAACTTCCAACACAAATTTCATGTGGGTCTACCTTAGTGCAAGCGACTAGAGAATTGTTAGCAGCACGACAAGGTAAATTAATGTTAACATTTACATCTCGTCTTCATATATTGGAGGAGCTTTAGTCAAAATTGTGTAGGGAACCGTTCAATTGGAGGTGGATTGGAAGAGCTTTAGTCGAAATGTTAACATTTCCAACACAAATTTTCTTGTAGGGAACCGTTCAATTGGAGGTGGATTGGAAGAGCTTTAGTCGAAATTGGTGATGCTTGTTGTTATTGTCAATTGTTTCTGTGGACTTTGTTTTGTTTTGTGAAATCGGCTTCAAAGACTCTTCTTATCTTGCTTCTATTTATGCTAAAATGTGTGTTCTCTGTAGACTTTGTTCTGTTTTGTGAGGAGAATTGCATGAAAGATTTGATGATCAAAGAATGAGCATTTGGGATGTTATTGGTTTTTATGATTGCTTAGAGTTGTTTTAAAATGTTGTATGAGTTGTAATTGGAATATATGTAGCTTACTTTAAAGCCCACATTGTAGAGAAAATCCAAAACCCAAAACGTTTGGGTCACATTCTGTTAATAGTTGTGTTGACGGACGTTTCCGGTCAATGGTTAAAAAGATGAATAATAAAAGGATAATGAGAAAAAGACAAAGAAATACGGTTCAATTACGATTTTATTGATCGATCGCGAGGTCGGCCTCTCGTACGAGGTCGGCACTTGCAATATCCTTACAAATTCTTACAAAGTTATTACACGGGTTTTAGAGAGAGAAAGTAGAGAGAGTTCAGACAGTTGGGATTCAACAACCATAAAATAAATGAGAGAGGTTGCTATTTATAGTGGCCTTTAATGCGGTACTGTTCAGGTACTGTTCACCGGTCTTGTCGTACAGTAGTTCGGCGGGACAGGCCGGCTTTTCTCTGACTGATTTGGAGTAATTTTGGGACCTTCCAATCATTACCTGCAATGCATTCAATGTTGATATGGACTGCATTTAATGCAGACAAGCTCTTGGACCGGGCTAGATGCTCTAGACCTGCTGGCTAGCTTGGGGTGTCCCATCAGTGATCATTGGTTGGCAAGTGGTCATATTCTATTATTTTGTAAGCACGTGATTCCTTCTAGGACCGACCTGGCGTAGTGCCGAGCTGGACCAGGATGGCTTGTTCTTCGATATTCGTGGCGGGGGTGTAAGGGAGCCGACCCCTCTGACAGAGGATCGGGGTGCCGACCTTGCAAGGTAAGGGGCGAGATGCTGACGCCGAATTCGACAGGTGTCGTCATTCTCGTTAACTCTGACTTCCACTCGGATCGGCACCTGAAAACAGTTTCGGTGACCGGCTCCTTCGATCCGGCCGGTTACCATCCGACTCCCGATCTCTCAGACCGGGTTTTACATAGGAGCCGAACTCGGGTATCAACATACAGGCCCCCGGGCTCGGGCGAGGCCTGCTGCGTCTCTCCCGAGGCCGTCCTCTATTGGTTGGATCCGAGTAGGACTCATAGGATTCGTATCTGTTCATTCCTTGAGGTCGGCACCTTCATCTCACTTGGGCAAATTCAACGATTGCAGTTGAAGGGACACGCATTAAGTGCGACCCTGCCTATGCGACACGTGGCAGCACCCTGGCTAAGCGTTTCGAAAAGATATGACTGTTGGCTTCCTTCGGACGTTTTGAATTTCAAAAGGCCTGTACACGTGTCCGCGCATGATTGGTCCCGTGACCTTATATATATCTCTTCCTTGGGACATTCATAGCTTTCTCTACTTTTGATATCTTCGATTTTCGAGCATTCCAAGAGCTGCGCATACTCAGATCTGGTCTCGAAGGTTTTCCGGTGACTGTCTTCTGTGATTTTCCGATAATTCTCGCCTTTTTTCTTCTTATCTCTCCGTTTTCCTTTTCGTTTTCCTTTTGGGATCGCGATGTCTTCTTCTCCGAGATCTACGGGTAACGGCGGCGACTTCACCGGCGAGGGTCGCGATCTTTCCCGGCAGGCGGATGTCATCCTCACCGCCGTCCCCATTTCTGTGGTTCGGCCGGATTTTTCGGCGGTGGAGACCGCCTCCGGTGGTGGAGGTGACGACCCCAGTGTCCCTTCGCTGCCGCTGCGCGAGGGTGATGGTGCCGATCTGAATCAGCCTGCCGCTGCCGACGTTGACTCGGTTGACCTTGGTTTTCTGGATACCGACTCCGACGTCGATCCGGACCTGGTCGAAGAGACTCTCCGGGGGGATACCAGCGGTCGAGAGCGCGTTCCTATGGGGGACGCGTCGATAGATGCCGCCCTCGAGGCGGTGACTACCGTCCTGCCTGGGTTTTGGCGCCGGCCCGAGCGGGTTTGGGCGACGCCGAGCCAGATGTCGGCGTGGAACACTGCTTCGGTCTTGGACGATGCCGATCTGGCCCAACTGAGGGGGAAGTATAACTTTGGACCCGGGGTCCAAATATTTGCGCCTTACCCCGGGGAGCGAATCCACTGTCCGCCGCCGGGCTGTATAGGAGTTTATCGACACAACATCCACCTGGGCCTTCGCTTTTCCCTGCCCGGCGCGCTCAACGATATCCTCAGCGAGCTTGAGATCGGCATCAGTCAGTATGTGCTGACGGTATTCGCTCGGTTCGTGAGCTTGATCGTGATGTTCCGCCGCGAAGGCTGGCCCGATCCCACGGGTGCCGAGGTGAAAGCGTTATTTTCTTTCTGGCGCTCCGGTGATACGGGCAATTACTACAGCTCGGTGTTGCCGGGTATCGATAAGTCGTTGGTGGCCAAGCTGCCGGAGACCCTCCACGTGTATATGCCGAAGTGGTTCTGGGTCGGCGGCGAGTGGAGGACCCAGGATGCGACTCGGCACGCGCCGACACGTTTCATTTCCCACACTCGTAAGCTTTTTCCTTTTTTCTCTATCGTTCTTTACTGATTTTCTTTTTTTTTTTTATTCTAACAGGTCATAATTTACATTTTCAGTCCACAGCACGAGCCCGACACCCAGTTCTAGTCTCGCTGCCCGGATCGACACTTTGTTGAGGCTCAATCCAGGGAGGCGACATTACTCAGCGCTCACCAAGGAAGAGACCCTCCTCGACCACAACTTGAGTCCCGAGGTCATCGACAGGTCGTTCAAGCCAGGTATGACTTTTACTCCTGTTCGGCATCTAATTATTCATCGGCACTTAATTGGCGCTATCTGACTGTCGCTCCTTTGCAGTCTATTACCCCCTCCTCAGACTCAAAGGGTTTGAATCGGCGAAAGCCGCGAACAAATACCGTCGCAAACACCCGAACCCCCTGAAGGCCAGAACAACTGCCGCAATGTCTGGGCGATTGAACTTAGCGAAGAAGAGGGCGGCTCTGAACAAGGGGCCTCAAGATGCCGAGGTGACCGTCGCGGCGGCACCCGAAGCTATCCCGGCCACCTCCCAGGCCCCGCAAGCGACCATACCGGAACCGCGCCTGACGAGGCGCCGAGCCAGGGAGGAGCTGAGGTTGACCAGCGGCGAGGCCCCAGGCGTGGGCGCCGGGGACCAGGCCGCTGCCAAGAAGAGGAAAGGCGCCGAGGCGGAGGGCTCGGGCCTCGCCAAAGAGAAAGCGGCACATATCCACCAAGACGGGGCGAGCACCTTTGTCCCCATCGATGCCGAGCGGAGGGCCCGCTTGGCTAAATCTCTTTCCGGCTTTCCAGATGACTGGTATCTGGACCTTCGTGCCGCAGACGGGGTTTCCGTCCCCAACCAGTTCGGGGTCCCCGACGAGATGATTCGGGCGGCTCGGCTCCCACTGGTCGCCTGGACCCCGGCAGCCCAAGCCGCCGTCACCCAGCTCTCCACCCCGTCGCTCATACAGCATGCGGCGGGGACCACCTCTCGGGCGCTGGTCGAGCTTGTTCAGGCTGCCGATAGGTCCCAAAAGACCCTGGCGGACCACCGAAAGTTGGAGGCCGACCACGAGCTCTGCCGGGGGAAAATCGCCTCCCTGTATACCCAGGTGAAGCGGACCTCAGAGCTGGAGAACCGCCTCGTACTGGCCGAGGCCGAGGCGGCGAAGGCCAGGGAGAAGGAGTTGGAGGCTGCCCGGTCGCAGGCCAGGATGGCCGAGGAG